CACGTGTTGAAAGATTTGTCCACCCGAAAATCCACGTTCGAAATATTTTTGTATTACCAGTCAATCTGATTCCATGATGTCGAAAAATCTAAAACAAGTGAGTTGCGAAATGATATTGTAAAGCGCGATAGTAGGCATGTAGGTGTATCGTATACACTAGACTAATTGTCTCTTGTAGCGGCGGAAGAAACTAATAAGGCTTGTAAAACTTTGTGTCCGAACTTTTGCCCCACCCTGTACATATTCAGATGTAGAACGAAATTCTGCGTCGAATGGTGTATAATTCAACGGATTTTAAAAGAAAAATTTTCAGGTTTTTCCTAGGCGCTGTGGACGTTTTTGACAAGAGTCTCCCGAGTGTTTTCCATCATTTCCTAAAAATTCGACGACGGTTCATGGTAGTACTCTGAGGCTGCTTCACGAAACCGTAGAGAACCCTTCAAACGGACCATCTTCGGTTGCAAAAACCTCTTTGCAAAATGGCCGATGACGTTTTGTCTATGTCTAAAGAATAAACTATTTCTGGNTTTTATCATAGATAGTACTCATAGCAAGACAGCTCTGGTAAAAATTTAAGCTCATTAGCATTTGATTTGACGGAGTTATAGCATAATCAAAATTTTCGACTGGAAAATCGCTTTTTTTCCGTATTTTACGACTTTTTTTGCAAGCGCTCTAGCGGCAAGGGAAAGCATTTTGAAAAAAAATCCTAAGAGACAAAAATGTTCAGGGCACATTTCTCTATCTGCTCTGATAATTTGAGAAAAATCTGTGACAGTTCATTGCGCAACTTTGTTCGGCCCTATCGTGCACTGCCTCATAACGGCACAGTTGAAGTAAAAAATATGTAAAATCGTTTTCTCTATAAAATATGATCAAAATTAAGTCGACATTGCAGTGGGCCAAAATCAAGTAAACTTGGCCTCGTCATTTTAATAAAAACTTTTTATTTTAAAAGTTGATTATAGCGTACGCGGTAGGGATAGATGACATTAGATTGTATCAGAGAAAAAAATTGCCATCGTTGCCGACGGAATTTTGAATTTCGCTTTTGACTTCTCAATGGATCACTGTCGGGGTTATGAGTGTTTTGAAAAAAGCCTTGCGGCTAATTTCGCTCAAAACAAGCGTTTTGGAAGTTGTTTTGAATTGAATTTCGAAGTTCCTCACTAGAGCCCTTTTAAAAATATGCCTTTTTTTTGCTCTTCAAATTGAAAATATTGAAATTCCATACGAGAAATATCAGATCTTACATGTTGTTCAACTTATTTCTCCGCAAAACTGTAAATATACATTTTTTACCCAATGAAATACTTTATTCTTAGTGTTTGTGTTATTATTTTTAGATATTACGACAAATAGAATTTCTATTGCTGCTGTCGGTGAGTTAGTTTTCGATGGTCTTTCGAATGAGACATTGCTCGACCAAAACGGATAAAAAATGATGGAGTTATATCGAAAATATGAGACAATGCTCATTTGCGATTCCTCGATGTAACACATTTTGGAAACTCTGTAACTCGGTCAAAATAAAGTTTGGAAGTGAACAATTTTTTTCGTCACCCCAGTTTTGATTGTAGAATCTGAAAATCAAATAAAACTCATGTCAAATCTCTACATGTTACGCGTGTTTTGCAAAATACTCGCTTTTCTCGTGAATCGTCTCTTAAACGTTTATCAAAACAAAAAGAAGAATTTAATGATAAACATGGTAGAGAACGGGCCTGTGCAAATGATTTAGGAAAAATTTATCATATTAAAGTGATAACAAATCAATAGGATTAACTTTTTAATAAAAGAAATTAATTTTTTTTATTTTTAATCGATCTCTCTGACTTAATTAAGTCAGACTGAAAAAATAGTAGTAATTAATTGGTAAATAAATATATATGAATTTCGCTTGCGTAACGAAAAAATATTTGTAAGATTAGTTGCAAAAAAGACTGAATTTTAAAAAAAGTGACTTTTTCTGAAACTGTTCGATTTTTCTTCTCTCGCAGTGATGGATGACCAGGCGATGGTAATTCTTAGTGAAAAAGTGGTTCACCAGCAAAAAAATTCGGATGTCCGCCAGTTGTCGTTGAGTGTTATATCTGTAATTTTTGTTTAATTTAATTCTAACAGATAACTCTTCCACTTCTTCATATTTCTGTAATTGTCATTTGCAATATTGTTTTACACATTTTCAAACAGATTTTGTACATGATAATTCGAAAACAGCATCAATCAAAGTTCTTACTATATTGTCAGCACCAAAACTTGTCAGGAGGGCTCGAAAAGGAGATCCATTACTAGTCTCAACATTTGCACAGCGATCACATTTGATATATTTCAAAATTATTTCAATAAAAATGTATTTCCAGCCATTTTCTCAACAGTTACTAACCGACGATTCGCGATATCATTGAGTATCCAGGCGTACAGCAGACACGAGCAAAAAATTGACCTATACTTTTATTACATATTTAAGTTTAGAACTTTTGAAAATAGGACCATCGCAGATTAAAAAAACAAAGAACGGTAGCGTTTGCTTGTCTATCTGCCTTAGAGAATTAGCTATTTATATAGCGTACGGATTATGATCCTAACTATGACCATAAGTGTTGCTTCTCTCTCGGCGGCATTCTACTATTTTCTTATACGAAACCATTCTACGATTTTCTCACGTTCGCACGATCAGAAAGAAAGGCACGACTTGTTTCTATCCATTGCAACCTCGAGATTTATCATCTTATTTTTCTTTTAAACGATAATCGAATACATATACTCACGCAATACTCACATGATTATTTCCTTTTCCTCCCGGAAGTAAACCATTTCGGTCCAAGTATTTTATAATCGAGTGACTGCTTTATTAACAGCAAAATAAAAAAAAATAAGCACGCAATTAGCAACTCAACATTCTAGATTTCCAGTAGATTCTGGTAAACCATAGCACTTTCGAACTGTCTTATATGTCGAAATTCTTTTCGCTTGCATATGGTGTCCGGGATGGCCCGTACACTCGTAAACGTTTAATTTGTTAGTGGTTTCGCCGAATTTATCGGCAGCTGCTAACGGCCCAAGTTCATTTGACTGCCAAAACCAAATTCCAGTTTGGGCTGCCACTTCATCACTACCATTCACTAGATCGGGATCAGATAGTAAATCTAAACCAATTGCTTTTCCACACGCCTCGTAATTGCAAGGATACGACAACTGGAGCCACCCGCGACCAAAATATTGTTTTCCAGATTTTGCTTGTGCCGAACACCATGGCGAGTTTTGATAATTATTACATGTACCTTGTGATTTACAGTATTCGATGTAAGTTTTAAGACCGTCTGTTTCATGCGACACATGAGCAAGAAACGCAGCTATTTCATGTTTATCATCCGCGGGTGTCCATTTCATTTTTGATGCAGCTGTCTTCAGTCCATTAAACCGTTTAGTTAATGTTGCTGAGTCCAGCTCGGAAAAAATACATTTGAACACGTTTTCATCGAATACAGTCGAGACTGTGCCGGAAGTTGCCGGTGTTGGAGGTGCAGCCGTATTTGAACTATCAGATAAGCACGGTCCTCCTTTGCATCCTTTACCGCAATGAGCGGAACTTACTCCACAATAACCATATTGCGAGAGGCATTCATTAGGAGCACATTTCGATGCTGGAGGTACCGTTGTTTTCGAATCGGTACATGGACCACCTTTGCATCCTTTGCCGCAATGAGCAGGACTTACTCCACAATAACCATATTGCGAGAGGCATTCATTAGGAGCACATTTTGATGGTGGAGGTATCGTTGTTGTCGAACCGGTGCATGGACCACCTTTGCATCCTTCACCGCAGTAACTGGAATTTGTTCCACAATAATCATATTGCGAGAGGCATTCATTAGGAGCACATTTTGACGGCCCACCACCTGAAAAAAATCAAATGTAACCTCATTGTAGTTGAGCATAGTAGCAGATGGAGTTCAACAAGTGAATTTTTCGAATGACAGTCTAAAACATTTTCTTTCTCGTACTGTTTCTGACAACAACTCAGTTTCATAGGATCGATGAACGGCGAGCTACGAAACATGCTATGTTAAAGGACAACAGTTATATCAAAGTTTCTTGTCAGATTGACACACTTACCTTCGATTACTACTAAGTGTACACTAAGAACGAGGAGTGGCAGTATCATAAACATGGTGAAAAGGAGTGTGTAATGGAAAAAATATTTTCATGGTGTCTTTTTATAGTTGTATCTGATATACATAGATATATTAGTATATATATATATCCACATGGAAACTTCTTCATGCTATTATTATTTCTCGTATTTTTTTCCACAGCCGACGACTAAATATAACGGCGAACTTTTTCTTTGATAGATAAGAAATCAAAATCGCTAACTCTCTTAAATATAAAAACATCTATATGTCAGATTTATCTTTTTAGCTGTTTGTTACACAAACATAATTTTCGCTCTTTATTTTTTTCTGTAACCGTTGAAATACAAATGTCACAGGTTATCTAGTATAGAAGAATATAATTATTAAGTGTTAGAGCCCATTCTCGACTTCAACTCGTCTAAGCAAAATGTACACTTCGAAAGAAAATGTCAGTTTGTAAAGTGACTGTGTTCCTTTCTGCCCCAGTAGATAAATGTTAGGAAGAATAGAGAAAAATATTGTTCAGTGTCACTATATGGCTGAAACACAATGTATGTCATCCGTTAAAAAATATATTCAATGATATGCCCTAGTCGACCGAACTTACGGCAATTCTATAGAAATCTTATAGAAATCTTATAAGAATCTTATATAAGGCAGTCGATGGAAATGCGTAATTTATTGATAAGATTCTTATAAGAAGGAATATAAGAATCTTATAAGATTCTGATAAGAATTCGGTAAGATAGATTA